GCGAGCAAGCTTGTGGAAAGTACTCAGCAAGAGATGACACCTGTTGGGGAGGCCCGACGCTTCGTGCGCGACGCTTCGGGGCGACACCGGGGGCGTGGGTGTCGCGAGGTCGAGGAGGCCTTGAAGAGGGTCCTTCCTTTTGGGTGGTCTCGGCAAGAGGTCCGCAGGGGGTTGGAGATTCAAAGGTCTATTATGGTCTATTAGCATTAAACCCTAAAACCCCAACCCCCCCCTTCCCCCCTTCACCCCAAACCCCTAAAAAGTGAATTGATGCAGGATCCCTGCCCAGCCTCACTGGCGCACCACTCTTGCTATGGATGCTGACCCATCCATCGGTCAATCAAACCACTGGGTCAATCCAGCCACCTCGGCCTTCTTGTCTTCTTTCCGTTCCCAACCAAAATCAAGAAATTCCAGTCTCGCAAAGGGGTCTCTCAAAGGGGGCGAAGGGGTCAAGTGGTCCGTTCTCGCAGATTGGGGACTTGCGGAAGGGCCGAAGGGCGAACTTCGCTTCGGAAAGAAAAGTCTCGGGTTCTCGGCTCTGCTTCCCAGCTCCAGTCACAGTTTGCTGACTGAAGTCGCGACTCGAAGGAACGTTCTTCCTTGCTACTAGTAACAAGAGTTTCTTGCTACTAGTAGCGATGGTCTCCAACCAAATAGCGATGGCCTCCAACCTAGTGGTTCTTTGTTACCAGTAGTAACATTTTTGCAAGTCTGCAAGGACTGGGAATTTCAGGTTACAATTTAACGACTTTGAAGCTTGCAGCCCCCCAGGCGTCTCAAGATTTTCGTCACGGGCAGGTGTCTGGCTGTACACATTGGTGGCCTGTTGAAAGACCGAAAAATACCTCTGTGTCAGTATCACATTGGAATAGGCAAATCCCGAGGAGCCAGTTGTATCATAAACTTTGGGGCAACACACAAAACTCACCTGCCTCATCCTGCACCAAGTACCAGGGTGTCGTTTGGCTCTGTTCGTCTGTGTTTAGTGTGCAAAACCCCATGTCCAGCAAGCACAATGTAGGGTCGTTGAAACTCGTGTTCAAGGTTGTGAATGTTTCCCTTCCAACAGCAGGCTACGGCTACTGGGCACATGGGTCCTGGGCAGACTGCTTTGATGGACCCATATGAAGATTCTCGACTTTCATGCCTACCGCATCCTATTTCTAGGACAACGGCCTCTCCTTTCTTGCTATGCAAAGCAAGTTGGTAGCAAAAACAACACAGATGATCTCACCCGAGTCTCTTTTCACATCATCAGTCCGTCTCTTTTGGAGACACGAACATGGTTGATCTAACAAGGAGAGTCATATGACCCTCCTATCTTTCTGTCTTAAAGAAGACACACGAAGAAAGAACAGGGTATTAACGGGTATTACCTTCCAGACTCAGGCTGGGCGCGGTGGGATTCGGAAAGTCGTGCTATTGAGCAAAAAGTGACCTGGCGTGTATTATTCCTAAACCTTGGGCACACGGCCTCTCCTCTTTTGCTATGCAGAGCAAGTTGGTAGCAAAAACAAAGAGATGATCTCACCCAAGTCTCTTTTCACATCATCAGTCCGTCGCTTCCAGAGATACGAACATGGCTAATCTAACAAAGAAGAGTCATATGACCCTCCTATCTATCTTTTTTACTAAAAACACACAAAGAAAAAAGAACCGTGTGTTCCTTCCTTGTCCCCTTATTGTCCGAGACTTCGGAGGCTCAACACGACTGACTTCGGTCCAATACTGTTGGAGTTCTCTTTGAACGGTGGTGACAACGAAGTGGAGGTCTGTCAACAAAGCAACACTATCCTGGATGCACACTTTCAAAGTGCGTTCCGATGACCAGCGTCCCATGTGAGCCACATGGCTATAGTTGTGGGTCGTAAACCATAAGTCGGTAGCTCCTCCTCGCCCAAGCGAATATGGTTTGAAACCATAGGGAAAGCTTGACAAAAACATGATGCGCCAGCAGGGATCAAATATGCGGCAGACGACACAATGGATTTCCAAGCGCGCAAATGAGCAACGAAAGCAGGATCGTGAAGCGTAGCGGCACCAGCATGGGGATTACGAGCACCCGTCTTAGTCAAGCCTAAATACAAGACGGCACTCCCACCTGCAGGGGAGATTGCGATGTCTGTTGCTTGCTAGCTAGCATCTCTCCTGTCCGCAATACACAACGGAAACCAAGCCACAACGCTAAAGCTGTTGAAGCGGAAGTCTTATGAAAGAATCCAAGGCAAATTTGCAAAGTGAGCAATGTCAGCGGGGTGCCCGCGCAGGCAGTTTTCGCAGCTGCCATGCTTTGAACAGGCTAGGCTGATAATGCTGGATTGCAGACAAAGTGTCACCTGCTATAAGGAGAGGCTTTTCCCCCTCATGCCATAGTAAGTAGTCTTCCAATTGATGATCCAGGTGAAAGAACAGATAGGCAAAGTCTGGAAAGAGAGAAACAATCTAAATGGCTTCCCGTATCTTTGAAGGGTGGCTGGACGTATCACCAAAGACTTCAGTGTTCCGAATTCCGCTCTCCTTTGTTGGCGTTGCCTCCCCTATACGTTTGACCATTTTCGTTTGAGACAAACCCTTGAAGGTTTGTCTGCGGGGCTTCGAAATGCGTGAGTGTAGGCAAGCACCAACGCAATCCGGCCAGATATCAAGAGAGCTGCTACACGCTTAGTCAGAGCACGCAATTTATGGGAACTTGAATGACCTTTGTTAAGCACCTGAAGTGAAACCATGGAGTCAACAAGGTGAAGACACTTCTTTACTGGAACTCGTTGTTTAAACAGTCTCCACTTCAGGCAAGTTTCGATGGCTCGCACTTCAGGCAAGTATAGATGATCGGGGATGGTCCCTTCACGGGTTTCCACTTCCACACACAAGCAACCTTCCACCGCCAGAATTTGGAACTCAGGGAAGCGCGGAACCGATGGGTCGATGGCAAAGGTTCAGTATAGCCGAGGTCAGCATCACACCAGTTCCCTTGCTAGGAGCCACGTGGCAAAGCTTACTGACCAGCCTGTGTGGAGTCTACCGTCACAAAGGGCTTGTGGCTCGCGAAGGAGGATTTTCACAAAAACCCGCCTAAGCTTCTAGCGTTGGCGTTTTCTGCATTTAACAGGTCAAGGACTTGCTGCGCAATTCGAAAAGGAACCAACCCCTGTTGGCACAATAGAGGTTGAGGGAGTAGACTCACACTCCTACACGCCACGCATTACCTATTATAAGGTATGGGGAATATGATCGTACTCCAACGGCTTGGTGGTCCTGTCCTGCTTTCCCCAAGCATGCATGGTATAGTCGATCGGAACTTATTACTCAGGGGTCTCCATCCTTTCTTCCTGTGAACCAAACCATTATTGGACTTTTTGGCATACCGCGGAAACCTATGTCTGTCCTTGATCCACTTTGCTTGATCTTCGGAAGCGCGCGTCGATAGCCCAGCTGGTTTGAAACGAGGTTCTTTCTCGGGGGCTGCGCAGTCGTGAACGTCCCAAAAGGTTTTGTGGGATTCGCGGGTTTCCACCCTGGTGTAAGGTATAGAGATTCTTTTGGCTTGTAATGGCAGATGCTTTCACCATAGCATTCGGGACTTCTTGACTCAGGAGACCTCTACTCCAAATCGTTCCATTGAACCACCACAAACGAGGACGACGACACAAACTTAGTGCGCTAGAGTCAACTTTGTAGGGTAGGTAGGGTCCTCCTCATCCATACTGGAAAAGCAGGAGGCCCAATCGAAGATCTCTTTGACCCCGTTCTTGATATGAACGAATTCCTTAAACAAGGCAGAGCTAGGGTAATTTACGGCTCCCTTGCGACCAAGGTTTAGTTTTGAAATGCGTGGACATGGTGGGCTCCTCCTATGAGAATGGTATGACAGGTGGGGTATCGAGCCGCCGCCGCCCAAGTTTTTTCTTCCCGGGCAATCTCTTCAACAGTGCTGTAGCGCTGCACCTTTGGGAAGGCACTTTTCGGTTACCTTTCGCGCTGCGGAGCTCTTTTCGACTGAAACGTAACCTGTAATCTCAGCTCCTAAAGCATCTAGAGACATTCTTAAACTGACAATACCATCGAACAGTCAAATACAAAGTTCTCCCTTGCTTGAATTCCTCATGTGACTCTCCTTTGATACCGCCCTTTTTCCTAGATCAGTCCGCCTCCTTTTTCGGAGGCATCTGATGCGGTCACTGCTGGATCGGGCGCATGCTGGAAACTCATGAAGCTGGTTTGCGCCAAAGAGAACGATGAAACTAGCTCCTCCAACACACGGTGCGGGATTGGTTTCCGAACCTTGTCATCTGGGAATGCAACTTCCAAGCCTCGTTCAAGGCTGACATCAAAGGACGACGATAAGAAAAACAGTAAGCCAGCCCTCCAACCAACATTTGCATCTGCTTTTGCGAGATCAGTCAAAAACAAGTATTTCGCCACCTTGGACGGCTAGGGAGGAGGTCACTCCCGGGTTCGTTCCCAAAGAGCAGGGGATACCCTCCTAGGTTCCCTTGAGTTCGGGTACCTCTCGTTGGTTCGCAGCCAAGTGGCCAGAGAATCTTGCACTCTCCCGAGTTCTGCAGCCCACCAGCGGACGTCCTCAGGAGTCAACCATGGGTCCGCTGTCTCCCAATCGGTACTCCTCACAAATCCGACACTCAGCCGACCCGTGTTCAGCGGCCCAAATGTCACCACCGGCGCAAACACGCGGCATTCGGAAAGTCGTGGCTATTGAGCAAAAAGCCTTGGGCACCAGTAATTTGGAACCTAACCCTAACGCATGAACTTTTCACCCAAATCTGTCGCTCTCGGGATCTGTCGGCGACGCTGTCCCGTGTGGATTCTCTCCACAACCACTTAAACAATTTGCGAAATCGCTGTTTGGGCAGCCATATTCTGACAGCCAAATAGCTGAACAGCACTCAGCCCACAAAAAGAGCAGAACTCAGCCCACAAAGCGAGCAGAACTCGTCCTCGTACTCGCTCGCTCCAAGCTCGAAAGAGCGCTCGTCGTCTCAGTCGTCCACAAATCCATCGACAATCTCCCAAGGGAAATCCAGTCTGCTTGCGTCTGCGAAGACACAGGTAATGGTCCTGGGAGCCGCGCAGGCACCGTGTCTTCCGTGATGTCTTGGCGTTTGGATGGTGAGATCTATGCGGAGGATAGGCCTGGTGAGTCATGGCGTGGGGTGGCGAGACCCGAGATGATCAACCTTACAATGCTTTGGTTGTTGAGTTGCTTGGATTGCAAGACCTCCGGAGAGGTTCCAACAAGGTGTGGACACAAACGGCTGATCGCAAGACCTGGAGTAGAGGACCTCAACACCGCAGTTTGGAGCTTGGATTAATTATGATCATATGTAGACTGTTGGAGGACGACTTTGCATGTCACCACCCGCTTATTCACTTCCGCTTCAGAGAGTGTAAGCCAAACAACCGTTTCGCAGCAGATTACGCTCCCACGAGGCCAGGCCAACCAACCGCCTGACATAGCGGTCCCCAAATAGACGACCGTGGCACGGTGTTTCGTGTCCATGTTCTACGTGCGGATCTACGAAGTGTCTATCGATTTGGAAGTCCAGAAAAAAGAGTACACCACCGTAGACCCCACACAGGTGGGACACCAAAGAAGCATTCCCAAGTCATCCCAAGTCCATGTTTTTGAGACATGGGAGACAAGAATTGAGAACCCCTAACAGCTCCGTCACGGAAGAAGCAACCCAGTCACTTGTCGTTAAAGACTTTCTCGATGATGCACTCCTGCATGGCACCACCGGCGAGTGCCAGGGTCCCCGCAATGCTGCGGACATCCGGGATCTGCATCACTTGGATGGGAGCAAAAGGATGCAAAAGTGTTTTGCGAACTGAACAAGGCAGGGCAAAGGATCTGAACTAACCAAAGAAAATGAAGACAAAACGCGACACCTCTCTACCAGAAAACGGAATAAAACCGTGTTCAAGACTGCTGGCTCTACCAACCAGTAGGTTGGGGGGTCCATGTCCATCCTTTCATGCATCTTGCCGGTGATGATCGTCCTCACCCCTCTTGGCCCATTTCTCGGCAGTATAGCCATTCAGCGTCTGCGCCTCAGCCGACTGGGTGATCCAAAGTGTCGAATAGATGGCTGGTAAAGAAATACATGATGAAGACATAATTTTCTGACTGACCAGACTGACCAAAGACTCAACCACCCACACATGTATGGCTTCTTCGTCAACCACCCTGAAGACTGACTGGGGCAACAGCGAAACACATGGTTTGTATTTCAAAACGGATCCTTTCGCCGATAGGCAGCCTGGCCGCTGATAAGCCCTGGTCTATGGTCTACGGGTCTTCCCAGAAAGGTCGAAAACACCCAGCTGGATCTCCCAACAGTCAAATTGGTGAAAGATGTTGAGGATGCCTTGAAGATGTTGAGGGCAGAGCTGGGCAAAGGGTGGAGGTGTCCCACCCTCAGAAAGTCTGTTCCATTCTCGGTTTGACACGCAAAACTCGGCCCAGCCGCTGTGGAGGCGCTAGGCCGTGGAGTGTCAAAAGGCAAAAAGACTTGATCTGAAAAAGGCCAACTTCTACTAAGTTGACTCCCGAAAAATGTTTGGGAAACAAATCCCAAAAAAGAATTACCCCCAAAAAAAAAGGCTTTGCCACTGATCCCCTTTTCCGCCGGTCAGCAACGGAATGCCACTGCTTTCCGTCCGAAAGAATGTGCAGCACCTGTAACATCCACCCCTGGGTGGCAGCGAGCGCGAGCTTCCAGGCCGGAAAGCGCTTGAAGGCGTTGCGGAAGGCCTGTTCCTCCTGCGAAACAGAAGCGAGCGACGGAAAAGAACGTTTGTCTCAGTCTCCCAGTCTCGCCCGTCGAAAGCTGTTGGTAGCCTCCGTGTGTCACATGGGGATGGGTCAACACTGGGAGCCCCAACACCATGTAGGGAACGACTAACACCACCTAGGACTAAGGAAATTAGATAATGATAATGCTGGTTTTTGACCCATTGCGACATGAGATTCTGCATCACTCTGCTGGAAGTGAAAACCAGGACAGCTAGCCCCAGGCATGTGAGTTTCAAGCGATGCCCCAACGCATCTGTGGTTGAACATCTTCCTCCACGTCACACCAAACCGGAGCGACCTTGGCCAAACCGGAGCGTCTTCCCTGATGAAAACGGACACCGAAAGATCCAAATGAGACAGTCACCGAGACGCAACAAAAAGCCCCCAGGTACCGTTGTCCACCCCCTGGAGAGAAGAAAAAGGAACGGGTCCTTCAGCAGGCGAACCCGTTCACCCGGCAAAATGAAGGAGCCTCGTTCTCAAGCACATGCGCGGTGCTTGAGAACAGAAGGGGACAGAAGAAGTTTTGGTTGAGGAGACCCTGAATCAAAGGTGGAACCATAGTTGGCCATGGCCAACCATGGCACCTGTCTGGGGTCTTGGCATCGCGAAGGTTTCACTCCAGCAGTTTTGCTGGTCTGAAATGAAAGGGTGCTTTGCACCAACCACAGACCCTCAAAAATCCAAAGAGCCCCAAACATCCCTAAACTAGTCCCCTACAGACTAGAATGGACCCTGACCATTGACCCGCTGAAGAATATGTTCCTCTACAACTACAACCCAGTGGTTTACGGGATCCATGCTAATTGCAGGGGGTAGCCGGGATAGCCCCATCGGTACACAACCCTGGAGGACTTCCATGTCCAACAGTCGCACATCTCTGACCAAAACACGTTCATCTTCCCATGGTCCCGGCTCTGTGCAAACCCCGCTGCCTAATTTGCACATCCTCCTGGTTTTCTTATGTACTGAATGAGGCATTGATTTGGAATGAAGGTCAATCTGTGTGGCTGTATGATTCAGTCGAGAAATGTGAGTGTCAAGGCATCAGACGGGCTTCGGCTTCGGCATGAAGCCAAGGCATCGGCAGCAGCTACACAGGAGACCTGGCCTTCGAGGCTTCAGCTGGGTCCCAAGATGCCCAGAAGCGAGTTCCCGCCTCCTCCTTTGAACCCAACCGCCTCCTCCTTTGAAAAACCATGCTCCGGTTTCAGCTAACACGGAACGCCGTTCCAAGCGAGCCTGACACTTCCAGTTCTGACCCCCCAGCTCCGATGGCTCAAATCAGCCCTTGATGGTCACCTTCGGAGTAGCTGTTCGTTCGCAGCTTCGTGCGTTCGTTCTTTTCGTTCGCAGGCGTACTTCTCGTGGCCATTCGAAACAATGACCAGTACCCAGTAACGGACTTCAGGATTCAAGACTTAACAAAAAGGAAAGGTAAGTACTGGGCACTGTGAAAAGCTTGATCCTTGCCCATGAACCCATTTGGTCCTGGGATGAATCTTCAAACATTCCTCTTGATCCGCAGGGCATGAGCCGTGAGATCAACACCAAGGTTTTGCTCTGATGGGTTGAGCACAGCAAGCCCTCAGAAATAATCATTAATGAGTGATTATATGTCAACCCCCCATACGACCTTCATTTAAGACTAAATGTAATGGTTGTATTTCTCCGATCACGTTCAATTGATTTTGATGACATATTGGTGCTTGTCTGGAGTCCAAGCTTTCTACGTATCGATGATGCCACAGCACTAATTAAACATGTACAGGAGATCTCGCTTTATAGCTTACTCCTATATACCTCGTTCAGCGGGGCCCCAATGCTTTGGGGGATATGATATGCTTTATGTCGGTAAATAAATGCGTTTGTCGGAAAATAAATGCGGTTGCTCATAATATGAAGAGGTTTACAATCGAAATGGAGGACCTTTGTTAATCAAGAGTCTACATTAGCATTGCGTGTGCGACCCTTGACAATGAGCCTGTTGACTTCAGTCCTATTGCGTGTGCCATAGAATGCACACAGATTTAGAAAATGTGACTTGTTAAGCCATCACCAAGCTCAGCTTGGTTGGACAAAAGAAGTGTGGCAGATAAAGATCGTGCGATCGCGACGTCTGCGTCGCACCAAGCGCAAAAAGGGCCGACTCCAAGGGGAAGCCGAGGGAAGATCGGCGGGCCCCTGGCACGGCCGGCTACCTCAGTGTCCGCTGAAGACATAGAGGGAGGAGACATCGAGGGATTCTGAGAGAAAATGGAAACGCTTTGACCCATGGGCTGTTGTTTGAGGGATCACTTGCACCCCTCAGTGCCTGGACGACGTCCGGAAAGAACCCACCGTGAGGAACGGAAGTTCTGCGTGGGTTTGCAGTGAAAAGCCTCCTTCTCCCGCGAAAAAACAAGAGGATCCTCGCGGAACATCTGTGAAGGCCTTGGTGATGGTGGGTCCATGCACCGAGCTCCGAGCTACCCGCTCCGGCGTTTCGAGGCTCCAAGCGACGCCTCGATGGCCTGCCGTTCAGCTTCTTCCTCGATACACGTCTGCACCTGCAGGCACGAAGCTTCCCGAGCTCGCCACCGGCAGGAAGCATTCTCCAGATCGTTCGTTGCTGATCCCAAAAAACATCGGTGGCAAAGAATCACCACAAGAACCTGACTTGTTGAAGGAAGATATCTCGGCTGAGATCTACCAATAGTAAGATCGTGTCTTCTTATCTGCCGGAGGTTCTTCCAAAGGCAGTGTTCGAAGCCAACTGCAGATGGGGACATACCGTGAAACATGGTCGGTTCATCCTTTTTTGATTCCTTTCTGAGTTCGGGGAGCTCTGTTGATGAAAGAATGATGCGTGCAACGCCAAAACATCCTGATGTATGTCTGTGTGTGTGTGTGTGTCATGGCTGTCCCTGTTTGGGTTTTGTGCGTTGCTTCAATGTCGTCCTTCCAACCAAATTGATCCTGCCTATAGGCCTATATAAAGGACCTAAAGACCTGCACGTGAAAACCCGATGCATTGGGGATTGAAAACATGCAACAGCATCCAGCCACCACCACCATTCTCACCACCAGTCCAGCCACCACCACCCCCTTCGTCTCGAACGCACCAGGAGCCCGGGCATTCGTCTCGAACTTCTCGATACTCGCACCAGTCCAAGACATGAGCAGCTTCCCACCGTCCGTCCCACGTCGGAAGACAAAGAAGGCGGGAGAGGCCTCTGACGTCTCTCCGCACGGTTCCGGGAACGCGTACAGGGCGTTCCCCGGAAAGCGTTTAAAAGGGTTCAACAGATGGTACCCTCTTGGGCTCAACCGGGGTTGTCGTCAAATTGGCGTGGTGGAGGTCCTGGGTTTGAGGATCTTGAGGATCAGCTGCTAAGATTCAAAGAAAGTGCCCAACAAACCGGACCCCCCCCAGAAAAAGGGCTATCTTAAGATGTGGTGGATGAGAGTTTCTCCCATCAAGTGGAATCCTTACAAAGGCACTTCCTAACCAGTTTTTATATAGCTTCCTCAGACGATTTTGCATCAAGATTTGGATCCATCCAGCTTTTGCTTCCTGATCCTCCTCACACTGCAGGACAACCTTCGCCCGATGAACGGACTCGTTTCAGACATGAGCGGTCGTTCGTGCACGGAATGGAAAAGGTCCTTGGGACAGAAGGAAAGGCCTCCCGTAGAACATGGAAGTGAATGGCATAGGCCCTTGGAAGACCATTTGTTCAAATAGCAAATGGGTTTTTTCGACTCGGAGAGTCCATGAAGGAATGTTAGCCTGTTAGCCCTCCGAGAGAACCACTTGGTGGATGGAAAAACCCGGTGCAAAGAGGACTTGCTGTAGTCTTCCAAGAAATGGGTCCATGAGAATGGTACTTCGATGTACTTCGTACCGAGTCAGATTCTTCGATTTCTGCATGTTTTTTGTGGGCCACCATTTAGTACAGCAGTTTTCAGAGTAGACGGCACAACATGGCACAACCCCCCCTAGTACATGTCTTTTAGATGGTGCTCCATCTAAGCCATGGTACTCTCCATCCCCCGGAGAAGATGGTCCTGACTGGCCCCAAACCCCGCAGCCAACGACCCACCGTTCCGTCCGTCGGTGCGCCTTCACGCCCAGCTCTTTGGTACAAAACTCCATGGCGCCCACCGTGCCGTTGCCCACCAGCTCGACGAAGCGAATGTTGCGGATCTTGTCCTCATGACCCGTGTACCTGCCGGGGCCAGTTAGCTGGGCTAGGTACACAAGGACGAGCGTGCAAGGCCACACGGTCCACCGGAGGGAAGAGGGAGAAGCAACATGTTCTTTGTTGAAACAAAACTCACAGGAAATATCCAGCTGCTCACGACTGAAGAGTCAAGCAATCTGTCACAGTCTATACTACTCTTACTTCCAACTTTCTCCCCGTAACCAGACCTCCAAAAACAAGCAGCTTCCGTCCCGAAAACCCGCAAACCGCTTCCGTCAGGAGACTGATCTGAGTACTTCCGCCACTTGGGCTCGAAGGCGCGGCAGCTTCGACAGAAGGTGAAGGTCACCTGCTGTGGCAACACCCGCGCGTGGAAGGCGCGTGCCTTCCAAGCCCGAAAAAAGCGTTTGAGGCGTCCCACCGTGTCCCACCCACGTGAGCCATATCTTCCTCACAGCCAAGTCGGGCTCCGACTGAGAGTGTTGGGAGGTCCAAAGAGCATGTCCGATTTCACCGGAGCCGAGCCAGTGGGGAAAGGTCGACACCAGTGACTCTCCCAAAACGACCACATGGAACCTGAGAATTGACCGGTGGTTTCGACCATGTTCCGAAGACCAACCCGACGTGGTTTTGGGGTTCCAGGTTCAGCTGCAGGGGAGTAGATGTCAGAGTGAAAGGAGTAGCCTCCAACCGGCCTCCAGAGTCTAGTGGATTCTGTGCGAGTGCTTCAGACACAAAGAAGCTTCATTGTTCAGTGGAGGTCAAGTCACCCGGAAGGATCTCGGGAAGAAAAAAAGAGCCAACACCAATAAGAACCTCGTTGCAAAATCACAGATCATAACTAGGTTGCACAAAGGGATGTCTCGGCGATTCGACATGGATGGTGATTGGTAGACCACTGGGAAGGTAGGGGGGTCTATAAACTGCCACTTTTCGGGCTTGAAGACATGTCAATGTAAAAACTCCCTGGATGGCATGGCCCGGTCGTGAACTCCACTTCCATGGTTATTTCAGGCCGGGGGGATCAAAGAACAAACATGATTTAGATGTATATGATACTTGTAGATTTAAAGAATCAAGGTTTTGTTTGATACAAATCACTTTTTTGCTACATATCAATGTGTGCATGTTTCAGGGAGTGCATCTTTGCCCATGAAACCAATGTCCCTCTTCTCAATCGCCGATCCCCAGAGGTGATCGACTCCGTCGTGGGCCACGGCCAACGGGCCAAGCCGAACAGCGAAGCAAGAACCATCCAGGCTTGCAGCCACTTGTTTGGCTTGGA